ATGTCTATCCCTCTCTTTCTGACTCATTTCGCTTAGCATGATACTTTCCATATTGTACCACTTGTATGTAAATTTCATGACTTCATCTTTTCTATACGATCGATAGCACAGCGGGTAGGGCGTTCGCCTTACAAGCGGCCAACATGGCTGACCGGAGTTCGATTCCTCCGCCCCTCTCGGAGAGCCCGGCAAGCTACCGAGAGTATTCGATATGCCAGACACAGTAACAACAAAGTCTCCAATGGAGACGTTACTGGGCCCGCTCGAGCAAATCGACGATCAACGGGAGGGCCTTTACCTTTACCTTTACCATCTTTTCTAACAGCTACATAGTACTCCATTGTGTAGATGTACCAAAGTTTCTTTAACCAGTCATCTGTTCTTGGGCATTCAGGTTTCTTCCAGTTTCTGGCTATTGTAAAGAGTGCTGCAATGAACAAACAAGTGCAGATGTCACTTCGACTATACATTTTTGCCTCTCTGGGATATATTCCCAGGAGTGGTATTGCTGGGTCAAATGGGAGCTCAATTTCTAATTTTTTGAGAATCGTCCATACTGTTTTCCAGAAGGGCTGAACCAGTGGACATTCCCACCAACAGTGAAGGAGTGTCCCTTTCTCGCCACATCCACGCCAGCATCGGTTGCTTTTGTTCTTTTGAATGTGGGCCAGTCTCTGAGGTGTGAGATGGTATCTCATTGTGGTTTTGATCTGCATCTCCCTGATGATTAATGATGTAGAGCATTTTCTCATGTGCTTTTTTGCCATTCGGATTTCTTCTTTGAGAAAGTTTCTGTTCATTTCATTGCCCCATTTTTGGATGGGGTTGGATGTTTTCTTCTTGTGGAGTTTAACCAGTATTTTGTATATCCTGGATATCAACCCCTTGTCAGATGTGAATTCGGTGAATATCCTTTCCCATTCTGTAGACTGTCTTTGTATTTTGGTCACTGTTTCTTTGGAGGTGCAGAAGCTTCTTAGTTTAAGATAGTCCCATTTATCTATCTCTGTTTTCACTTGCTCGGCCAGTGACGTGGCATCTTTGAAGATACCATTAGCTTCAATGTCATGGAGGGTTTTGCCAACTTTATCTTCAATGTACCTTGTGGTTTCTGGTCTGATGTTGAGGTCTTTAATCCATTTTGATCTTACTTTTGTACATGGTGTTAGGCAGAGTTCTGAGCCTATTTTTTTGCATGTAGCCATCCAGTGATGCCAACACAATTTATTAAAGAGGCTTTCCTTACTCCACTTCACATTACTTGCACCTTTATCAAAGATTAGATGAGCATATGATTGAGGGGAGATGTCAGTGTATTCAACCCTGTTCCATTGGTCTGCAGTTCTGCCTTTGTTCCAGTACCATGCTGTTTTAATTATTACTGCTTTGTAGTACAGTTTGAAGTTCGGGAGGTTGATTCCTCCCATTTTCTTTTTCCCAAGAATTGCTTTAGCTATTCGTGGGGGCTTATTGTTCCATATAAATTTCAGGAGTGTTTGCTCCATTTCTTTGAAGAATGTCATGGGTATCCTTATAGGGATTGCATTGAATTTATACAATGCTTTCGGTAGTATTGCCATTTTGACAATGTTAAGTCTCCCGACCCATGAGCAGGGGATATCTTTCCATTTCCTCATGTCCTCTTTTATTTCCTGAAGTAGCGTTTTGTAGTTTTCTTTGTACAGGTCCTTTACTTCCTTAGTTAAGCTGATTCCTAGGTACTTGATTTTCTGGGGCACAATTGTGAACGGGATTGTTTTTTTCATGTTGCTTTCTTCTCTCTCACTGTTTGCGTATAGGAAAGCCATGGACTTTTGCCAACCCACTTTTTATTCATTCACTTCCTCACCAAAGGCAATGGTTTCCCAGCATCTGTCAGCCTAAATTGTGTGAAGTCAAATTCTCTTAGTGTTCTGACCTTAGTTAATAAGAATAGAGAAATGATGCTTCTTCCCAATCTGGATTCAAAAAGAGGTTGGCCAATCTCTACACTCTTTCCTCTAAGGAGACTTTATTGTAGCATTTTCAGCATTTTTTCATAACAAACAATACAAAATACATGATTTCTTCTTTGGGGCAGGGACTGGGGTTCGGGATGAAAACATCCGAAATATGGTGGCAGGAAGGTGTAATGGTGGTGGAACTGATGTTTGGATATTAAATGCAATCAAATATTGTGAACTATTTTATAAAATAAAAAAAGAGTTTGGCTTTGTTAAGGAAAAATGTTCCCAACAAGCACGCAGACTTCCCTGACTGATTTAGGAGAGTTTGCTCTATTCCTTTAGGTCACCAGCTTCTCACCATCTCTGGACTCTATAATTTTATAAATTTATGATTTTATAATTTCAGGGTAATAAAGCATAGTCTTTCACAGGAACTATTTTCACTCTCACTCATTTTCAAATGAGTGCCTAAAAGCAAACTACCACTCAGTACAAACAGAGTTCACATGAAGTCTTCCCCCGAGACAACAATTTTAAGAAACAAGAAGACATGAGTCAAAACCCAAAACAGCAAGAAGTAAAAATGATGCTGGTGGGCCCCTGGGTGACTTATGGGAAGTGGAAGAGAGCGAGTCACTAATGCAGTCTTTGTCTTTGCTGAAGTTCGTCCTCTGGGGAGTACAGCATCCTGGGATTTTCTGCCAGGTGAAGATCTTATCTTACTCACAAGATGGGATTTGCCAGAGGGGCCCTTCCCTATCAACCTGCCTGCCTCAAAAGCATGGGACTCTGCTTATGGCTAAACATATGCAGGGATTTAGCTATTGGAGAGAGACTTTCTGCTGCAAATTAGGATTTGTGGAAGAAAAGGGACGTTCTGATATATTAAAGTCACTATTTTCTAATGAGTGTCTGAAAGACAGATATGTTTATTTATCTAATAAATCCATATTATAGCCAACATTTAGAAAAGTTGTACTTAATAATTTATGCCAATGTTGAATCCATTCTTTAAAAATTTAGATCTGACCTTTTCTTATTTGCTATAATGCAATATTACAGAATGTTCCATTGAAGCCTTCCAAGTTAAAGTTATAGACTACCCAAAAATACTTTTTCACCTACAATTACAGTAATGCAACAGTTATTTTGCCAGTTCTTTCAGCTATAAGAAACTGAATTTGGTAGATTCTTCTTTCCCTATTATTAGTTGCAATTATTTAAACAGCTAGTGTTTTCTAAGGGCTTATTGTTTGTGAGGCTGAGCTAAGAACTTCATGTTGTTTTATTTAGTTTACAGAACAACTCTTACAGTAAAATACTGTTATTATCCTAATTTTACAGAAAAGGTAACTCTGGCTTAGAAAGGTTAAAATCTCTCACCATATTACTTAGCTACCATATTAGGGGATCAACTGTTGAGTCCATGTTTATATTATATGCTGTAGCTTGAAAGAATTATTTACCCAATAAGTATCCTTTTCATGTGAACCCAAATCTCTGAGTTCCAAAGTGTTGCTGAAATCTTGCTGGAAAAAAAGAACCCAATGTGTTAAAGAGTTATAAACATGAAAATTTGGAAACAAACACACCAAAACTGATATCTTAGAAAATATATTTAATGGACAATTAAACCATATCACCAGGGTGCCCTTCCCTGTCTAGCTCCAACATCATATCTCCTTGGGCAGCTCAAGGGAAACTTTTATATATACAAAGCAAAGAAGCAATATCAAATAAAAGTAATCCTTTAGACTCACAGCAGAACTAAGATTACACGGTGTTGGAAAGTGGACTGAAATGATTCAATGTAGGGAGAAATGTTGGCACTTGATGGGGGGGGGGGGTGAACAAGGTAACATTTTACCCATATACAGTATATCAAAAATATAGTCTTGTAATTCAATATTACCCCCCATGTTTTATGTTTTTCTTAAAAGATGAGGCTAATCTCTTAAACCTTACCTTTTTTTTTTTTACATTTTTCAGACACCGGTTAAATATCATCCACATTTGATTTTCCACTCAAAATAACTGATTTGTTGGAAGAAGCATGCAATTTTACAAAAACTTAGAGTTAAAAAAAATTCTGGGGAGAGATTGAAATGACTCTTTAATTTTGTAAATGAGAAGATTAAAGTCCACCCATGATGTAGCACTATAGCACTGTACTTCCATTGTTCATTGATTTGCTTGAGTGGGCCCAGTAACGTCTCCATTGTGAGACTTGTTGTTACTATGTTTGGCATATCGAATACATCAAGGGTAGCTTGCCAAGCTTTGCCATGCAGATGAGATACTCTTGGTTGCTCGCTGGGCTCTCCAAGAGAGGAGAAGGAATCGAACCTGGGTTGGCCGTGTGCAAGGCAAACGCCCTACCTGTTGTGCTATCGCTCCAGCCCCCACCCATGATGAGTGTTCTATAAGTTCCTCAAAGTTAGATGGTTAGAAAATGACTTATTAGGACTAAAAATGGTTGCAATTCTATTTATATCTGAATTTATAACTTCCCCTGATCTACATCTCACTGTCTTCTCCAATCTCTAACAACTAGTAGATAACTTGATCCACTGTGCCAGTATTTCCCAAACTTTGATAGTTCACAAACCCTAAACTGTGCCATGAGCACACACACCTTATTATTTATCTGTGTGTTTTAGATTAACTCATATTTTAATTCAAATTTATTTTAAAAACATTAATATCATATTCCTCCATCCCTATCGAAGAGCCCAGCAAGCTACGAAGAGTATCCCACCTACACAACAGAACCTGGTAAGCTCCCCGTGGTATTATCAGTATACCAAAAACAGTTACAAGTCTCACTATAGAGACGTTACTGGAGCCCGGTCGAGCAAATTGATGAACAGTGGGAGGACAGTACTACAAGTGCTACAAAATAAACAGAAAACCAGTACTACTTGCCATAATGGGAGACAAAATAATCATTCGGTGCTTAAGTGATAGTAAAACTTTACTTTTTAAACTTCATTAAACTGTCTTCTCTCGGGCTGCCTTGCTTATGGAATAATAAGATACCAAGAGTCATTTTTTTTAAATATTGAAAGCTTCTTGAATTTGCATGTCATTCTTGCCCAGGGGGGCGTGCTAATCTATGTATTGTTCTAATTTTAGTATATATTCTGCACACACCAGCACAGGGTATCACATTTCTTAGAAATTACAAATCACTGGCCTAAAATAAAAGTAATCACCAAGATACATTTGTAGCTTAAATAAAAGTAGGACGTATTGAAATATTAGTGGGAAAATTATGTTACTGCTCTATCTTCCGAGCTCAGACAGCTTATAGAGAGGAAAGATAGCATTAGAACCAACCCTTCGTTGTTTATTAAGGTAAGTCAGTCTTTGGGAGAGGTTGTAGGTAATGCCTAAATAGAATCCCAAGTTAGGAAAATATCACTGGCTGACGCAATTGGATTCACACATTGCTTGTTAGCTGTGTGATATTAAATTAGTTTTAACATCTTGAAATCCCAGAGGTTTCTTTGTCTCACTGTCTCTCTGTCTCTGTCGCTCTGTTTCTGTCTTTATCTCTCTGTCTCTCTGTCTCTGTCTCTGTCTCTGTCTCTCTCTCTCTCTCTCTCTCTCTCTCTCTCTGTCACACCTGCAGGTGTTCACTGCTCACTCTTGGCCCTGCATTCAGGTATCACTCCCGGCATATTTGGGGGACCATATTGGGGTACCAAGGATCGAATCTGGGTCAGCTGCTTGAAAAACAAAAGCCTTACCCACTGTACTATCACGCCAGCCCTTCTTTCTTTTTTCAATGGAAGTGTGGAACTTCAAGTAAATTCTCAGTGCATCTGACTATATGGCAAGTTCATATTCTTCTCTGTTCTTTTTCTGGAGTAGCATCTTTCAGGTTTTTTTTATCACATAAGTCAAAAATGAGAAACAGAAGATCTTTTAGTATGATATCCTTTAGTGTAGTTCTTTTTAATGCCTTCCTTTTAACTTTTCCAGAAAAGGACACTGAACTGTAGGATTGGTTTGATTAAATTATGTAATATGTCAGTAGTAATTGATGAAATCAAAATACTCTTTGTCTCCAAAGCTTGAGTCCTAATGATTATTAATATTTATCACTTAATCACTTAATCACTTAATCCCCGTTATTCATCGATTTATTCGAGCGGGTGCCAGTAACGTCTCCATTCATCCCGGTTGCGTGCTAGCGTAGCCCAATGGTATCTGTTCGTTTCAGGAACATGTAGAGCCTCAAACTGATCATTTAGGGTCTTGACGAAGAAGTCTGACCATCTTATAGGTGGGCGTCCACGTGATCTTTTGATGTCCCATGGAATCCAATCAGTAATGGCTCTAGTCCAGCGGTTGTCTGTAAACCTCATTACGTGTCCAGCCCATCTGATTTTTGATGTCTTGGCAAATGAGACAGCGTCCCTGATTCTTGAGCGTTGACGAAGATCAGAACTCCGGATTCTATCTCTCATTTGAGTGAATCGTGATATTCCAAGCATAGTTCTTTCGATTCCTCTTTGAGAGACCCGAATAGTGTTCTCATCTGGTTTTCGTAGGGTCCAGGTCTCTGAGGCATATGCTAATGCAGGAAGAATAGTGGAATCAAAGAGATGTGCTCGTAGCTGGAGGTTCTTTGTCCTTTTAGTTATTTCTTCAATGCTCTTGAAGGCATTCCAAGCCGTTCTCTTCCTCCTGCACAACTCAGGTGCCAGGTCATTCATCATGTTGATTTCTCGACCTAGGTATATATAACTGTTGCATTCGGAGATGGTGGTTCCGTTGAGAGCGAATGGAGCGTCAGGAACAAGGCTGTTTCTCATAAACATTGTCTTCGTAAGATTCAGCTGTAGTCCGACCTTTCCACATTCACGGTCAAAGTTGTTCAGCATTTGTGCCGCTTGGTTGATGTTTGGTGTTATTAGAACGATGTCATCAGCAAAGCGGAGGTGGTGTAGTTGCCGACCATCTATCTTCACTCCCATGTTTTCCCATTCCAGTCGTCGCATGATGTTCTCGAGGGTGGCACTGAAGAGTTTTGGTGAAATGGTATCACCCTGCCGAACCCCTCTCTTGATATGGATGATTACTTCTTTGTAGAATGGTGAGATCTTGGTAGTGAATCCGCAATAGAGCTCACGAAGGATCCTGATGTATTGAGTTTGTATGCTCTGATTGGCTAGGGCTTCCATGACCGCTTCCGTCTCAACAGAATCAAAGGCCTTCTTTAAATCAATGAACGTTAGACAGAGTGGCATCTTGAACTCCCGAGATACCTCAATGAGCTTGGTTATTGTGTGGATATGGTCGTTGGTACTGAATCCTTTTCGGAATCCAGCTTGTTCACATGGTTGTCCTTCATCTAGTGTGCTGCTAATCCTATTCAGGATGACTCGAGTGAATAGTTTGTAGATGACACACAATAGGCAGATTGGGCGATAGTTGCCAATGTCGTAGATGTCTCCTTTCTTGTATAGTAGTACAGTCTTGCTGGTTTTTCCAGTGGGATGGAACCTTGCATTCAGACAGGTAGCGTGTGAAGAGTCGAGCCAATGTATTGATGAGTACTGATGGTAAGTTCTTCAGGTGTTCAGGTCTGATCTTATCTGGGCCAGGTGCTCTTTGTTTCTTTACCGACGAGATGGCATGTTGGATTTCGGAAGGGAGAACATTGGGAACGACATATCCATCATGTGGTATGTGGTATGTGGGCAAGTGGATGTGGCTATTAAAGAGATCTGAGTAGAAGTCATGAATAATCTTCTCCATTGCCCTTCTGGAAGATGTGATAGATCCATCATGATGTCGGAGGGCAGTCATCTTGGTTTTGTAGTTGGTGAAGGACAGGCGGGCATTACGAATGCTTTTCCCAGCTTCTGCTGCATCTACCAGTACTGCTGCTCTCCTGTTTTTGAGGTCATCCTTGATGGCTTCTCTGCATTGTTTTGCCAGTTCGGATGTTTGCTTGTGGTTGCCTGAGGCACGTGCCAAGCCACGTTGGCGAATAAGTTCAAGAGTGTTCGAAGAAAGACGGTTTTTTGTGGTTATCTCTCTCTTGGCATTCCTTGCACAATCATGGAGGTGCTGAATCATTCGATCGTATTCCTCATCAATGTTGTCAATGACGGCATCTTCCCATGTTGCCGCAACAGAGCCAAAGAGTTCCCAGTTGGTGGTTGTTCTGGGAGTCCGCTTCTTAAACCTTGCATTCTTTTCTCCTCGTTCTGTGAGGTAGAATTTTGCACGAAGAAGATGGTGGTCTGATCCCGTTTGGAATTTTGGGACAACAGCAACATCGGTTAGGCAAAACCGCCGATTGAATATGATGTGGTCTATTTCATTGTGGAACCGTCCATCGGGAGACTCCCATGTCCAACGTTTAGATTCAGCCTTTTGGAATTGTGAGTTACCATGGAAGGTTTTGGTTGACATGATGAACTCAGATAGTCTGTCACCCTGTTCGTTCCATTCCAGGCCATGGGTTCCGATGTGGAGTTCATCGACTGATCTTCTTGGTCCTATCTTGGCATTAAAATCACCGACAATGATCTTGTAGAAGGTGTGATCTTCTTTATAGAATTTCTCCAGCTCCATGTAGAATTTCTCAGTTTCTCTTTCACCATAACTGAATGTTGGTGCATAGACAACAAAGATAGAAACTGCCGATAGTGAGCCACATTTATTCAAGTGTAATCGTCCGATTCGGGTTGTTAGGCATTCAAATGAATCAACGCTCGTGACTAAGTTTGTGTTGACAAGGATACCGACACCACCGACGCCTCTTTTATCACATGTTTATATATATATTAATTAATTAATTAATTAATATAAATATATTAATATTTATGCAATCTATATTATCATGTTCTAGAGAAATAAGAGGGCTGCAAGTTCCTTGACACTCAATTCTGTTTTGTTTTGTGTATTTTTTTGTTTTGGCAGGAGCGTGGGGAAACATTGGGCCATAACTGGTGGTGCTCAGGACTTGCTCCTGGTTCTATGATTGGAGATCATTCCTGGCAGCACTCAAGGAAACATTTGTGATGCAGGGGCGTCGATTCAAGGTCTGCTACATGCAAGATAAACACCTTAACTGCTGTACTATCTCTCCAGCCTAATACTCTATCCTGGAGGTGAACTTAATGATCCTGTTATTAGTTGGGAAGGACTCTGTAGAATCCAGGCATCTTATAGAATATCACTTAATCACTTAATCACTTAATCCCTGTTATTCATCAATTTACTCGAGCGGGTGCCAGTAACATCTCCATTCATCCCGGTTGCGTGCTCGCGTAGCCCAATGGTATCTGTTCGTTCTAGGAACATGCAGAGCCTCAAACCAATCATTCAGGGTCTTGACGAAGAAATCTGACCATCTTGTAGGTGGGCGTCCACGTGATCTTTTGATGTCCCGTGTAATCCAGTCAGTAATGGCTCTAGTCCAGCGGTTGTCTGTAAACCTCATTACGTGTCCAGCCCATTTGATTTTTGATGTCTTGGCAAATGAGACAGCGTCCCTGATTCTTGAGCGTTGACGAAGATCAGAACTCCGGATTCTATCTCTCATTTGAGTGAATCGTGATATTACAAGCATAGCTCTTTCGATTCCTCTTTGAGAGATCCAAATAGCGTTCTCATCCTGTTTTCGTAGGGTCCAGGTCTCTGAGGCATATGTTAATGCAGGAAGAACAGTGGAATCAAAGAGATGTGCTCGTAGCTGGAGGTTCTTTGTCCTTTTAGTTATTTCTTCAACGTTCTTGAAGGCATTCCAAGCCGCTCTCTTCCTCCTGCGCAACTCAGGTGCCAGGTCATTCATCATGTTGATTTCTTGACCTAGGTATATATAACTGTTGCATTCGGAGATGGTGGTTCTGTTGAGAGCGAATGGAGCGTCAGGAACAAGGCTGTTTCTCATAAACATTGTCTTCGTAAGATTCAGATGTAGTCCGACCTTTCCACATTCACGGTTAAAATCGTTCAGCATTTGTGCCGCTTGGCTGATGTTTGGTGTTATTAGAACAATGTCATCAGCAAAGCGGAGGTGGTGTAGTTGCTGACCATCTATCTTCACTCCCGTGCTTTCCCATTCCAGTCATTGCATGATGTTCTCGAGGGTGGCACTGAAGAGTTTTGGTGAAATGGTATCACCCTGCCGAACC